CCCAGCTACTCAGGAGGCTGAGGCAGGGGAATCGCTTGAACCCGGGAGGCGGAGATTGCAGTGAACCGAGATCACACAACTGCACTCCAGACTAGCTACAGTGTGAGACTCTGTCTCAAAACAAAACAAAACAAAACAAAACAAAAAACAAGTGCATGTTCAACATTCCTATCTTTTATTATGGATACCCAGATACTAATACAGGATGCATCTATATATAGGTTTCAAGAACTCCTCTGCAACGTCTTTGTTATTGTTTGGAGTTGCATGACTGCTTTGTATGTCAGTTACACATTTGTTACAGATTTATTTATTTTCCTGTTTAATTTAGAAAAAGCATATAATACAAAGAAGAAAATTTAAAAAAAAAACAAAACTATATTTTTCATAAGATAAAAACCTATATAGATTTTTGATACATAAATAAAAGATACACTGTGGAAAAATGTTTATATATGTCATAGACAGAGCATCATTTTAATAGACTGAGGCATTTGGGGATTGATATGGGTTGAATGTGTCTCCTAAAAGGATATGCTGAGGTCCTGAACCCCAGAACCGTATAATGTGACCTTATTTGGAAAAGGATGATTGCAGATGTAATTAGTTAAGAAGAGGTCACATTGGAGTATGGTATACTCTCAATCCTCAATGTGATTGGTACCCTTACCAGAAGAGGAGAGGAGATACAGAGGCAAGAATGCCATGTAGAGACACAGAGACACATAAAGGGAAGAAAACCATGTGAAGATAGGAGCAGAGATTACAGTTAAGCTGTCATAAGCCAAGAAATATCTGGGGCTATCAGAAGATGAACAAGGCAAAGAAGGATCTTCCTCTAGAAGCACTAGAGGAAACATGGTGCTGCCAACACCTTAATTTCAGACTCACAGGCTCCAGAAGAACTTTCTATTGTTTCAAATTATCCCTTTGTACTATTTTGTTATAGCAGCTCTGGGAAACCAGTCACAGAGACCTTGGGAGGGAGGGAGAATATTTTGCCTGTGAAAGGGATTTTAATCATTGGAGCTGACTTTGGTAAGCAGACTTTGAGATGACCCAATTATCCTCACCTGCTAATAGTCACACCCTTGTATCATTCTCACCACTTGAATGGGACCTGAATACAGTGACTTGCCTCTAACAAATAAAATACTACAGGATGTCACTTCTGAGGTTAGATTACAGAAGACTACAGCTTCTATCTTAGGTTTTTATCTCTCTTATTCTTTTGCTCTGTCTTGGGTTTCTCAGCCCAGGAGAAACCAGCTGACATACTGAGAGACAATGCTGTGGGAGGACATGGCATGGGACTTAGGCTTCCAATTATCATTTGCATGAATTTGGTATAGACTCTGCCCCCGACTCAAGCCCTCAGATGAGTCCTCAGCCCTGAGAAACACTTGACTGCAAACGTTTGAAAAACCTTAACCCAGAGGTGCACAACTAATCCACATCTAAGTTCTGGACTCGCATTAACTGAGAGTTAACAAATGGTTGTTGTTTTAAACTACTAAATTTGGGGCTAATTTGTTACCTAGCAATAGATAACTAACACAATCAGTGACTAGAAATGAAGCTAAAAGATGATTTCTTTAATATAACAAAGGTACAGCTGTTGTATTTGGCTTCTCTTCCCCTGTTAGCGAGAGAGGGATACCTACTTGAAGATTACGGGGGTGGCTGAACCTGCGCTCCTCAACACAGGAGAAACGTGATCAGCAGCAGTTTCTTAGGATATACACTCACAGCCAAGGAGAGGAAGATATTACATGCCATGCAGGGTCACACAGAGATTGTTTTGGAAACAGAGTAGACCAGAAGGGGCAGGAGAAGGCAGATTTTGTAGTGCTAAGAGGATAGGGTGCCCCCTGGTTCCTGCAGGAGGCTGTGCTTGGCTTGTCTGAATAATTCCACAGTCTGAAAGAGAACCACATCCTGCCACTGAGGGCTAGGTGGGAGTGTTGCCTGGTCTCCCTTGATAAAGAAGGTTGTTTGGCTAGGGAGACCTTATCCACAGGGCTAGAATGGTGAGGAGAACTTGTCAAGCCATTCATTTGAGTCTACTTGGTTTTACTGAACATCAAGGCAACACACCATTCAGGGCTTACACCATAAAGTCCAGCTACATAATTTTCAGAGCCTACAGCAAAAGGAAAGTCTGGAGTTCTCTGTATAAAAAACAGGAAAACAATGCCGTTAAAGGCACAGATCATCCTTTTCTCTGCAGCCTCTTACTTGATTTATGGTAAGTTTTCTTGTTTGCTATTTAATGTTGTTTTAAGTAAAGAAAAATTTATATTTTAAATTATTAGAACACATTTTGCTGTTCATCTTTATATCTTACAATGCCCGTTTCAAGTGGAAATATGAGAGCATTTAACTTGAGTGCAGAGTAAGCAACGTTAAGCAATTTGTTTCTTGGGGCTCATCCAGGAAGATGCCTCCAGCAGGCTAGAAAGAGAAAAATCACAGACCAGACTCAAAAAGGGTTGAAGGAGGGCTCCCTCCAGGCAAGAAGCTGGCAGAAAGACCATTCCAGGCATGGAGGTAATCTCGGAGCGCGGACCCTCACAGGAGTATGGGACTACCACCCTGTCATGTGGAATGAACGTTCATTCCTGCCAGCTGCCAAACTCACATTGCACACCCCAGGCTGGAAGGGGTCTGGGGAATTTGATACAGAAGCTTTCTCACAGGCTCACTGCCCCAACCCATAGCAGACAGGTGACTCCCAAGATCTTTAAATGTTTGTGCTGGGTCATACTAGTTACCTGCATGGGGGTGTGTAAGAGGCTCATGCTCACAGAGATGCCACCTGTGGATGGATGCTCACCAGACACACAATGATATTTGGGTGATGGGACACCATTCCTTGCACTGACATGCTGTGAGCTACAGATACCCAACCCCACTGGACAACAAGCTAGAAAAAGGGCTAGCAGGACCGCTGTACCAGGCAACAAGAGGTGGGCTGCCGAGATCCCAGGCTACAGTGGCAACAGGAAAAGTGACAACTTTGGGTAAACAGAGGCTGCACACCGCCAGCTCATCCACCATTACCCTACCAGAATTCATTGCAAAATACAAACTGAAATTTCAAGATGGTCGAGGCAGAACATTAAACCCTAAGCAGAGGGCCCTGTAAAACTGCCCCGGCAGCTTACCATAAAGTTGGCCCTGACTAAATGTCAGTGATGAAGTCCAATTAATAGCATTGCACAGCAAACTGGGAGGCCCATGAAAAAATCCATTAGTCATTTGGGCAAGGTGATAGCTTTAGGAAAATCAAATAAGAAAGAAGAAGGTACAGTTAGGTAATAGGCAAAATATTAGTTCTGTAATATTTTTTGACCTTGGGGATTCTGGACTTTACCTGTTGAACCAGCAAGGGTTACCAAAGGCCATTTCCACGAGTAGGGAAAATGCTGACTACCTACCATGCAAATCTAAATTGGTTGTTTAGTATGAGTCACAACCAGCTGGCTAGAGATCATTGCATCTGTATATGTGTCAGAAGGTCTTTTTGACTGATATGAGAGTAGGATTCTGATTGTATAACCCTATCTCATGGTAAATTTTTATAGTTTTTAAAAATAATTTTCTTTCTATTTATTTATTTATTTTATGTATTTTTTTGCATGATTGCAACTCACTGCAGCCTCAACCTCTAGGACTCAAGTGATCCTCCCATCTCAGCTTCCCAAGTAGCTTGGACTACAGCTGCACACCAACACACCTGGCTCATTTTTTAGTTTTTTTATAAAGTCAGAGCCTGACTATGTTGCTTAGGTTGGTCTTGAACTCCCAGGTTCATGCAGTCCTCCCACCTGGGCCTCCCAATGTTCTGGGATTACAGACATGAGCCACCATGTGCCTGACTTGCAGTAAATTTTAGTAATTTAGCCCTTGTTATAAATCTAAGTACAGTGTGAGTACAGGCCACCAGAACACCTCAGTGTGTGTAAGGGGGCAAATTATATGGTGACATATGGTAGCAAAATTCTAATTCCAATGGCAGCAGTTTCCAGATCTTAGTTTTTGTAGCACCCTCTATCTCCAATATGACAATAAGGCCCACTGTTCCAAAAACACCAGCAAAGCCTTGTCATGAAACGTGACAGAAGCACAATCTGTGCTGTTACACTAACCTCAGTTCACAGATGTCCATTCCCAGAGATCTCATGTTTCAGTAGCCACTTTGTCTCTTGTGAGCTGAAGCAAATAACTATGGATACTACATGGTTTTATTTTTAATTTACTTACTTGGGACAGGGTCTTACTCTGTTGCCCAGACTAGAGTGCAGTGGCATGATCTTGACTCACTGCAGCCTCAACCTCCTTGGTTCAAGCGATCCTCTGAAGAAGCTGAGTCTACAGGGGCTCACCAACATGCCTGGCTAATTTTTTTTTATTTTTTAGAGGTGGGGTTTTGGTATGTTGCCCAGGCTGGTCTCAAACTCCTGAGCTCAAGTGATCCACCTGCCCCAGCCTCTCAAAGTGCTGGGATTACAGGTGTGAGTCACTGTGCCTGGCCCACTAATGCTTTTACATTGGTCTGTGTACTTTGGTTATCTTAGCATTGTTAATTTTCAGGAACCAATTTATTTGATATAGAGTATGGAGAGTTGTAATCCATTTAACCTCTGGCTTGTTGCCATGGACTGAATATTCGCATCCCCCCAACACTTACATGTTGAAACCCTAATCTCCATTGTGATGGTATTTGGAGGTGGGGCCTTTGGAAAGTTATTAGCTTATGAGGGTGGAGGCTTCATCTTGTGTCCTTATAAGAGAAATGAGAGACACAATCTCTCTTTCTGCCCTATGAGGATACAGCAAGAAAGCAGTCATCTGAAAACCAGGAAAAGACTTTCCTAAACAACAGTATTAGCTAGCAATTAATCTTTGACTTCCCAGCCTACAGACAGTGAGAAACAAATTTTTATTGTTTAAGTCACCAAGTATTCTTGTTACATCAGTCCAAACTGACTAAGGCACTTGCACATTCCACAAGTAGTTACTGAGTGTCTGCTATGCTTAAGGTACTGGTCTAGAGAAATGGAGGTACAACAGTGAACAAAAAGAAGCCCCTGCTGGAATCAGTAAGATTGTTTTCTACAGGTAAGCAGATAACAAATTTAAATAGATAAATAAATAAATGTCATCTTAGATGATGGAAGTGTTCTGAAAAGAAATAAAACAAAATTAATGAGGACTGGCCTGGTCAGGAACTGCTGCTTCTTACTTTTTTGATGGTGTTCAGGGAATGCCTCACTAATTGGTTGGTTCTTGAGTGACTATCAAGAAGTAGCCAGAGAGTATAGTTTGCAGGTTTGGGGAATGGGCTCTCCAATAGAAAAAAATCAAGGGGAAATATCTTGAGACAGGAACAGACTTGAATGTGTGAATAATGGTAAGGGAGCCATATAATAGGTGTAATGTGAGGAAGAAAGGGGAGAGAGCAGAAGGAGATGAAATCAGAGAGGCACAAAGGGTCAGATCATGTAGGGTTTTGTTGTAAGGACTTTGATGAGGAGTGATACAGGAAGACATTGTAGAGTCGGGAGCAAAGGAGTGACAATATATGATTCATACCTTTTAAAGGATGATTTAGGCTTTTCTGTTTAGAATAGACTATAGAATAGTACATGCAAAAATAAATAAATAAATAAAACGAGAAAATGCACATTCACCTCTTGCCTGAATGAATGACGTCGTCTCTGAGCTGACAGTCTGCACTAGGAGTCCAGTAGTGGAGGTGTGGAGAATTGATCAAACGCTGGACATATATTAAGGGGATTATAAACATTATAAACAATCTTTATAAAGAAATCAATGCCAGGTGTGAGTAAGAAGGAGGAGAAAGGGGTGATTACAAGGTGTTTGAGTTGGAATAACAGAGAATGGAGTTGTCATTTAAGAAGTGAGAAGAACAAGTTTGTGGTGGGCAAAATTGAGAGTTCAGCTCTGGTTATGAAGTTTGAAATACCTCTTTGTCTTGTAGGATGAGATCCAGAACCCAGCTGGACATGAGTCAGCTTCCTTAGAGGGGAAGTTTGGGCTGGAGATACACATTTTGGAATCATTGATCTAGAAATAAAACTAGAAGAGATTAACTAAGGGCTTGATGTGAATAGAAAAGGATTTTGCTCCCAAACACTGCAGCATACTGGGGTCAGGGCGATGAGGGGAGACCATCAGAGAGGTCTGAACAGAAGCAGCCTTAGTAGAAGTATATGCAAGAAATAAACAACAAAGATGTTTCCAGAAATGCAGAATATTCAACTTGTTCAACTACTGATCCTATAATGAAGAATGAGAACTAAGCACTGGACTTGGTACCAACATAGGTAACAAAGGCTATTTGTGTACAATATTGGACAGAAAAGCCTGAATAAAGTTGTTTCTATGGGAAAAGGGAATTTCTATAGGATTTGGAGATCTGGAGCCTAACATTTTTTGATATGTTTTGCTATACTGGTGAGAACAGAAATGGGTAAGCAGCTAAAAGAAAATTTTGAAGTTTAGAAGACTGAAAGAGCCCCTCAAAGATGTGCACATAATAATCTCCAGAATCTAGAATTATGTTACTTTACGTGGCAACGAGGCTCTGCAGATATGATCAAGCTAAGGTGCTCAAGATGGGAAGATAATCGAAGATGATGTGGGTGGACCCAATGTAATCACAGGGTCCTTATAAGAGCAAAGCAGGAGGGTGAGACTCAGAGAGGATGCAATGATGGAAACAGAGATGAGACAGAAAAAGAGAAAAAGATGGAGGGAAAGAGAGAAAGATAGAGAGAAAGAAAGACAAAGAGAGGCAGAGACAGAGAGATTTGAAGATGCTGTGTTGCTGGCTTTGAAGGTAGAGAACAGGGTCATAAGATAGTGACTGCAGGGAGCTCTGGGAGTCAGAAAAGGCAAGAAAATAGACTCTCCTAGAGACTCCAGAAGAAATGCAACACTGCCAATATCTTGAATTTAGTCCAATGAGATTAATTTTAGGCTTCTGATGTTCAGGAATGTAGATAATATATAGAAAATACATTTGCATTGTTTTAAATCAATAAATTTGTTGCAATTTTTTACTGTAGCAATAGGAAACTAATGCAGAGTTCAAAGAAATTTCAAAGCTTTATATGAAATATAAATCTTTCATATTTTTAAAGAAGCTGCATATTTAGTAACATATATACTGCTGAATACCAAATATTTTGAAGCAAATATTTGTGTAATTTCAAACCATGTAGAAGACTCCCAGTGATTTATAACTCCTCATATCCTCCTTACCAATCAAAACCCCATTAATCTCTTAGAGGTAGCCATAAGTGACATCAACAATATGGTTGACCTATGAACAATGCTGGGATTGGGGCGCCACTCCCTATACAGCCAAAAATCAAAGTGGAACTTCTTTTTTTTTTTTGAGAGCCTTGCTCTGTAGCCCACGCTGAAGTGCAAGGGCACAATCTCGGTTCACTGCAACCTCTGCCTCCCACACCCAAGTGATTCTCCTGTCTCAGCCTCTTGAGTAGCTGGGATTACAGGCACTTGCCACCATGCCTGCCTAATTTTTGTATGTTTAGAAGAGACGGAGTTTCACCATGTTGGCCAGACTGGTCTCAAACTCCTGGCTTCAAGTGATCCACCTGCCTTGGCCTCCCAAAGTGCTGGGATAACAGGTGTGAATCACCGCATCTGGCCCCCAAGTGTAACTTTTGACTCCTGCAAAAGGTAACTACTAATAGCCTACTGCTGACTAGAAGCTTTGCAGATAACATAAACAGTGGATTAACACATGCTTTATATATGTATTACTTACTCTATCCTTATAATAAAGTCAACTAGATAAAAGAAAATGTTACTAAGAAAATCTAAAAAAGAAGATGATCTATTTGCTATTCATTTAGTGGCAGTGGATCTTAGTTAAGATCTTCATCTTCATTATCTTCACATGGGGTAGGCCGAGGGAAAGGAGGAAGTGGGGCTGCTGGTGTTGCTCTTTCAGGGGTGGTAGAGGTAGAAAAAAGTCTGTTTCTAAGTGGACTCATGAAGTTCAAACCCATGCTCCAGTGTCAACTGAAATTGTTTCAATGTTTTCTATTACAGTTTTGCCACCTAAAAATGCATCTTCTAAAATACAGTTTTGATTGGTTTGTTTGAATGTTACATCAGTGGAGGCATCAGGATACATATTTTGTGTCTGGTTTATTGCACTAGCATAAATTGTAAACTCTACTTATGTTCCTGCATATAGAAAATCTAATTTTCATTGATACATGAAACTCCATTCTCTAAATATGCCAGAATTAAATGCTGATAAATGTTTAGTTATTTCCTTGTTTTTGCAATTACAGACAATGTTTTTATACATCTATTGGTTAAATACCAAGAAACACAATCTATAAGCCATAGGCTACATGGATGTTTACCTTTATTAGAAAATACGATATACAAATGCCTTCAGAGTGCAGTATCATCAGCAGGGTATTAAAACTTCCTTTGGTCTACATTTCTGTCATCACTTGGAATTATCAAACACATTGATTTTTGTCTATCTGGTAGGTACGTAGTCTTTGTGGCTTCTTGCAATTTTATTACTAGTAAAGTAAGAACCAATGTTTATATTTTTTCTTGACCATTTCAATTTTTTCTCTTTCTATTGACTTGTCTTTTTCTTATTGACATGAAGGAGATCTTTAGGTTTTCTAGTTACAAACAAGGCATTCTTTTTCCTCCTTTTCAAAGACATTTCTTACCCCTGGAGATTTTGAACTTTAAAGACATAACTAGTGTAAAAGAACAAAAATCCAGAGTTAATATACTCTAGGTATATTGGGAACATTTTGTGAGGATATATGGATTCTGTTCTGAAAAAGTAGGTAGCATCTGGTAGCATGGGTTTGAAATTTGGGGTGTTTTAGGGGAAAGAGAGCAATCATCTGTAAGTTACAATGAGGAGCAAAGAATACAACTTCATCTTCATACCAACTGATTTGAGATTTGGAGAGAAATTGCTGAAACTTGTGGTACCAGTAGTTCAGAAGCAACATCTTTTGAGAAAAGCCAGATTACAGTTAGGGCAAAAAATAAAAGGAATAATAAAAAAGAGATGAGATATGAGTTCCAGAAAGGGGAGTGGAAAGGTTTTTATGCTTGGAGAAAGGTAGAAATCTGTGCAGTGTTGTGTGAAAATAAGATTCCGTAAGGCATGAGACATTGCAATATGAGAGAAAACCTGGTTATTTAGGACATTTTGTGGTGATTGACATCAATATGCAAAGAAGGCATGGAGAGATTAATCCTGGTCTCCTGAAATTATTCGTTGAGACTTTGAGTATTCCAGGGGCAAATGCTTGCTGTGACTTTCCTCCTTTCCTGCTAAGAGCAGGCTGAAAGCCAGGGTGAATTTTGTTATCAGAAGAACAAAATCTCAAGCCTTCCTTCTTCATTCCTATTGGGCTTGAATAAGGGGGTTACAAAGCTACATTTTAAGAGGAACACATTTATGTAAAAAGTGTTCATGGGAAAAAGTCCTAGCATTATAGAGTAGTATTTTCTAAAAATGGCCAATCTAAGGTGGAAAAGAAATTGAAAGCACTCTGAGACAAAATTTTGTTTACAAGATAGAGACAGTCTGGGCACCAGTCCAAAGAAATAATGCCTCAGGTTTAGATCATTTTGGTGGTACAACAGTCCAGATATCTTTCAACCAATAACCCCATGTCATTGTAAATCAAGCTAGTCTAGATGATTACTCTTCTGTTGATTTTTGGCAAGTGAAATAATGAACCACAGGCATGAATCAAGAAATGCTTTCTTTTCTCAGTGTTAATAAAATGAGTAGTAGTGTGTTTTGCTTTATTTCATTGTATATTTGGGGTCTGATATAGAAAAAATATAAGACAATTATATTTATAATGCTTTTTAATAATTTTAAAAGGCTTTCTTGTGTATAAATAGAAATACTGATAGAAGCATTTTTACAAACAGGGTCCAGTGGCTCATGCCTGTAATCCCAGCACTTTGGGAGGCTAAGGCAGGCAGATCACTTGAGGCGAAGAGTTTGAGACCAGCCTGGCCAACATGGTGAAACCCCAACTCCACTAAAAATACAAAAA